TTAGTGTAATGGCTATGTTGCTGGACTCCCACGTAGTCGACCGTGGTTCGTGTCCCAGATCTGGCGGCTTAAAACTCACGTCGGGCGTGTGTGCGCACGTGCCCAAGATCCTGAGAGGAGAATGGAGAAGAAGGGATTGCAGCGTGGCCATCCCCCCTGGGGGGTGATTTCTCGCTTTCTGTCTCTATGTCTCTCTCTGTCTATCTGGCGAGCGCACACATCCTATAGCAAAAATCTCTTCAAAAAAAAAAAAAAAGATTTAAATGAAAGACTTTCAATATGAAGCACAACTGATACATACATTTTAAGAACACATGTCTGACTTTAGGCGTAAACCTCAGTAAGTAAAGTGAATATACTAAAAAGTATCACTTTGCTGGCGCTATCTAGCTTACTACAGTCATTAAATAGGTATAAATAGGTATTTTTAATGCATTTTTATTTCAAAAAGTTTTAGTTTTAATAGATTAAAATTAAAAAATGTTAAGAAAAATTTGCTTAAAACTTAACGACAGGAAAAAGGTTAGGATTCAGTTCAAATAGTAGGTAGATAAACCTATCAACAGAAGACAAAAATCCTGAAATATGCAAATCAAAGCATCGAAGGAAATCAGTAATGCTTTAGTCTAAAGTAAAAAAATTCTATTTCACTAGTTCAGACTCATATAATTAATCTCTCTTCTACTGAATTTTCAGTGAAACTGTGGTCTGATCTTTCCATTTAAACTCTGGAAGTTAATATTCAACTCCAGACTTGTCTCTACATTAGGCTGGCCATTCTTTTGGTTGTTTCTTTTACTCTTACTTCTCTGTATCCGACTTTAATTTTCCTGGTATAGCACTCTCTCCAGCACTTTTTGAAGAGCTGGTATGGTGTTGGTAAAATCTTTCAGGTTTTGTTTATCTGAGAATGTTTTTGTCTTTTTTCCCCATATGAAAGATAATCTTGCTGGGTATAGTATTCTTGGTTGAAATTGTTTTCCACTTAACACTTGGAATATATTTTCCCATTCTTTCCTTGCTTGCATTGTTTTCAATGCGAGGTCTGATATAAGCCTTATGGAATATCCTTTGAAAGTAACTTGACATTTCTCTTTTAGTAGTTTTAGTATCGTGTCTGTGTCTGTGGTTTTGGTCAGTCTGGCTATGATGTGCCTCAGGGAAGATCTTCTTGGGTAGATTCTATGTGGAGTCCCTTGTATTTCCTGGGACTGGATATTTGAGTGGCTCTATAGGTTTGGAAAGTTTTCTTCTAGGATTTCATGGAATAGATTATCAATGTCCTTATGAGTTTCTTCACCTTCTGGAATACCGATGATCTGGATCTTTGGGCATTTAATGGTATCTAGTATAACTTGTATGTTATTCTCATTTTTGGGAGTTCTTTTCTCAGTCTTTTTGGTGAATTTTTCTAGGTCAGAAGTTCTGTCTTCTACATCTCAGATTCGATCTTCATGATCTAATTTGCTTTTAATATTTTCAAGGGAGGTTATGATTTCCTGTATTATAGCCTTCATTTATAACAATTCTGTTTGATTCTTTTTTTATGATGTTTATCTCCTCTTTCAGATCATGCAAGAACTTCCTCACTTCCTGGAATGTGTTGTCTCTTTCCTCCTGCATTTTCTGGAGTTTGTTGTCTTGCATTTCTGCTAGCTTTGTAACTACTAATATTTTAAATTCTTTATCTGACATTTCCATGAGTCCCCTTGTATTGTCTATGGAGGAAGAGGAGTTATTTTTTTTCCATTATAAAGGAGAGATATTTACTTCATTTCTCATATTTCAAATGCCTCTGAGGTGGTTCCTGGTCATCTGATGGATTGTACGTTTTTTCCTATTTTTTGGAGTTAAATCTGGCTCCTGGCTAGACCAGGCAGAGGGTCTTCAGTGATAAATAAAATTAAATAAATAATTCTTTACAAAAGGGGTGGTCAGGTGGTGTGGTAGTTAAAGGCGCTGGATTCCCACATGGCCAACTGCAGTTTGAGTCCCAGACCAGGTCGCTTGCTTTCTTGTTTTTCCTTTTCCTCTCTCTCTGGTCAAAATTTTTAAAAAAATAATAATAACAAATGGAATTAAATAAATAATTATTTTTTTAAAAATGCAATTAAAAAAAAAAAACTTGTCCCAAACACAAAGAGTAAATGAGAACTGGTGCTCAGTCTAGTATGCAAGACCATCCATAAATTTTGTCATAACCATGAATAGATTTTTTTAAATAATTATTTTATTTACCTTTATTTATTTATTTATTTGTTTATTTATGATTTGACCAAAGAGGGACAGTGCAAGAGAGAGCGAGAGTGAGAAAGCAAGCTGCCAGGTCTGGGACTTGACGCACAGTTACAGTTGGCCATGTGGAAGTCCAGCACTCTTAACCACCATGCCACCTGCCGGACCCCATGAATAGATTATTGATTTTTTATATAAATATGCAGAAGTGCATTGAGCTTTTACTATGTAACTTTTCAAAGTACTGGGCACACAGCTGTCAATAAAACAGATCAATCTTTACCCATATGGACCTCTTTACCCATATGGACCTCGGAAAGCATCGGTGGCTTAGAGAAAGTATAACAGGGCTATGATTTTTTTCTTTCTTTTTTAGAAGTTTTCGCTTTAAGGTACATGTACTCACTAGAGAGAGAGAGACAGAGATAGTGAGGGGGAGGTGAGAAATCATCCCCCAGGGGGATAGCCACACTGCAATCCCTTCTCCTTCATTCTCCTTCGGGGATCTTGGGCATGTATGTATCCCCAGCATGATTTTCAAGCCACTGGATCCAGGACTTGAACTGTGTCTGGCCATGTGGGAGTCCAACAACATAACCACTATGCCATCTGCTGGCTCTAACAGGGCTATAATTTTTATTAACAACCAAGAAAGTTTCTCTAAAGAAATATAGATATTTCTCTTGCGCTCTCTAAACCAGTATTGTGTAAGTAAATGCCCTCCCAGCAGCGTCTCTCCTTGGCAGGTCAGACGTAACATACACAAGACTCCACTCTGCGGGTTCTTCTCTAACTTTGCTCCCATATCAGCACCCTCACGTATTTGTGTTAGAACCCTAGGAGGTATTGTGTGTTTTTTTTTGTTTGTTTGTTTTTTTATTTTGGAAGGGTTTTTGCTACAGGGTCCGTGTGCTCATCAGACAGAGAGAGAGAGAGGAAAGACAGAAAGCGAGAAATCACCCTCAGGGAGGATGGCCCGCCACAATCGCTTCTCCTCCATTCTCCTCTCGGCGGGATCTTGGGCATGCACATACATGCACCCGGCGTGAGTTTTAAGCCACCGGGTCCGGGACGCGAACCACGGTTGACTACATGAGAGTCCAGCAACATAGCCATTACGCTAACTGCTGGTCCCAACTCTAGGAGGCATTGTTGACACTTCACACTCACTCACCCCCATATTCTGTTCATTACTAATTTCCTTTTATTCTACCTCCTAAATACAAGACTCGAAAAAGCTTGGGGAAAAACTGGAATTAAAGCATGAATTTAGGTTGGCCCTGTAGGCTGGTGGTAAAGAGAACTGGATCCCACATGAACCACTGAGGTTTGAATTTCAGCCCCGGAGGCTTGAAAAATTCACCGGGCCGATAAACATGTATGCTCCATAATTTTAGCAGGATGGAGAAATGGAAGAGAAGGGACTATAGCATGACCATGCCCAATTAGGAAGTGCTTTCTCCCTCTCTACTTCCGTCTCTGGCTCTCTAGCAATTAAAAACAAAAGCATGGGACCAGCAGTTAGCGTAATAGCTATGTCACTGGACTCCCATGTAGTCGACTGCGGTTTGAGTCCTGGACCCGGTGACTTAAACTCACGCCGGGCATGAGAGGAGAATAGAGGAGAAGGGATTGCGCTGCGGCCAACCCCCCTGGGGGATGATTTTTCACTTTCTGTCTCTCTGTCTCTCTATCTCTCTGTCTTTCTGGCAAGAGCACGTGCCCTATAGCAACAATCTCTCCAAAAAAAAAGAAAAGCATGAGTTTATTTGGTACAAAAACTTTTAAAATCCATGCACTTTTTTCATAAAATGTATTTTCCATGAGCTTTTGAAGACACCTTCATACACCTTGAAACACGTCATAGTCCATATCTAACTGTCCTAACTAGTTTCACCAATTTCACTTTCTCCCTCTCTAAACCGTTCTCCATGCTTAAGCTAGAATGGTATCTTAAAAATATAAACCCGATTTTTTTTTGAGAGTTTTTTTTGCTATAGGGCGCATGCGCTCGCCAGACAGACAGAGAGAGACAGAGAGACAGAAAGCAGGAAATCACCGCCCAAGGGGGTTGGCCACGCCGCAATCCCCTTCTCCTCCATTCTCCTCTCGGGATCTTGGGCACGCACGCACACGCGCCCGGCGTGAGTTTAAGCCACCGGGTCCAGGACTCAAACTGCAGTCGACTACATGGGAGTCCAGCGACATAGCCATTACGCTAACTGCTGGTCCCTATAAACCTGATTTTTGCAGTCCAAAGCTCATACTCTTTCTATGGCTTACTGTGGTATTTAGGATAAAATCTAGACTTTTTTCCATGGCCACTAATACTTCACATGACCTGCCCAGGCTAGTTACAATATCAAAAGAGGAAAACTGCAACAAAGAGGAAGTGATCAGTAGAGATAGGCACTGCGAAATCCGGAATAATACTGCAGGAAATGTGACACTGGATTTGATAATAAAACTGCTCATTGCTGCGTTGCCACAGAGTAGCAGAAATGGACCTCGCATAATAGTCACGGAAGTAAAGGGGGAAAAAAATGAAAGTAGTCAGTGAATTTGCTTAAAAACAGGTGATAAGAGGACTTCAGGGAACTATATTTTTATTTTATTTTTCAGTTGATACATATAAAATTGAAAAAAAGGAAATGGGGCGGCTGAGATATAACACTTTGGAAAAGCGGGTAGAATGAGGTCAAAAGCATAAGTGAAATGATCATTTTTCTCAGCGGCCAAGCTGGTTACCGTGAAGGGTGACATACCGGAGTGTCGCACTCGGTGCAGTTCTGGTACTCTGATTTCATTCTTTTGGCTACATCAGTTGCTGGAACTCCTTCTGAAGGAAGAGATGCCCGACAGTAAGGACAGGTCCACTTGTTGTTCTTTAGACTAGTAGCGATGCAGGAACGGCAGAACCTACCCAAAACAAACCAGGAACACATCATTTTCCTTGAAAGGTGTGAAGAAGCCACTACCATGTGTTCGTTTGTGTGAACTGGAATTAAACGACGTCTGGTGCACTCTGAGCCATACTCCTACGTCTTAGGCCCCCTTGTAGCCTATGCTTCCCTTCACTAAGAATTCTTGGGATCACACATTCTTACCACATGCAGTCACATGCATTTACACAGGAGTGAAAATAGAAAGTGGGTAGAATAGCATTCTTATAATTCTTACAGTAATTCAGAAATTATCTATTGTTCTTCCTCTTCTTAAATCCTATTTTCACTAAAAACCTTTTTTTTTTTTTTTTGAGAGGATTTTGCTGTAGGGCACGTGCACTCGCCAGACAGACAGAGAGAGACAGAGAGACAGAAAGCGAGAAATCAACCCCTAGGGGGGATGGCCACGCCACAATCCCTTCTCCTCCATACTCCTCTCGGGATCTTGGACACGCATGCACACGCGCCCGGTGTGAGTTTTAAGCCACCGGGTCCGGGACGCAAACCACGGTCGACTACATGGGAGTTCAGCGACATAGTCATTATGCTAACTGCTGGTCCCACTAAAAATGTTTTTTGAAACTAGTTCTTTATTTCATGGGGTTTTGTGTATTAGATAAGAAAATACCAGCAAGTTGGAATTAAAACCAGGCACCCTGTAATTTTTTATAAATTACTTCATTAAGAATTATTTTATTGAATTTTATCATTTTTTAAAAATAATTATTTATTTAATTTTATTTATGTATTACTATTCTTCAATTTAACCAGAGAGAGAGAGAGAAGAATGAGAGAGCAAGCCAGCAGGTCCAGGACTCACACCATTATTGGCCATGTGGAGTCCAGCCCCTTAACCACCATGCCACCTGCTGGCCCCCTTATTACTATTTTTTAATTTGACCAGAGAGAGACAGATGCTGAGAAAGTGAGAAATCAAGCTTCTAGGTCCGAGACTCAAACTGCAGTCAGTCATGTGGGAGTTCAAAACCTTAACCACCATGCCACCTGTCGGCCACTGTAAAATAATTTAAGGTCATCCCCAGATATAGAACATTATCTATTCAAGATGACCACTATAAGGAATGTCTGTCAAGCCAAGAAGTATAGTTGGTTTATTTAAAGATCATTGTAATAAAATCTTAACATAGTTAACATTATTCACAGAAAATCTTGACTTATGTAGAGGAGCTATTGAAGAGTAAGTGTACACGGAAATAAATGAGCATCTGATAGGTTATACACATTAGTATGATCTGATACCTCTGAAACTCTTCAGCATATATTTACTCACGAGTATTAATACACATCAAAAGTTAAGCTTAAAATGTTTTTAATAATTATTCAACTTTATATATTTATTTTTTAATTTGACTAGAGAAGGACAGAGTAAGAGAGAGAGAGAGAGAGAGAAAGCAGGCCACCAGGTCCAGGACTCGAAATGCCATTGGCCAAGCAGGAGTCCAGTGCCCTTCACCACGTCACCTGCTGGCCCCAAGTTTTTAAAATTTTAAGTACACTAGACATACTGAATGTGCACAGGTCACTTATCATTGGTATACAGCTCAATGAGATTTCCCAAACTGAACACAGTCATATAACAAATACCCACACAAAAATACACGGAACCAGCAGTTGGCATAATGGCTATGTCGCTGGACTCCTATGTAGTTGACGGCGGTTGGAGCCCCGGAAAATTAAAAAAAAGAAAAATACAGATCATGGCCACCCACGAACTTCCAAATCTCTCTTCCTGCTTGCTTCTGCTGCAATTCGAATCCCTCCAAAGTAATCACTGACTTAAAAAAAGATTTTAATATATAAAACATAATAATAAACTGATCAAATGTACCAGTATGAATACCATGTCTTCTTAGCCCTGCTCGCCATCCTGGATGACTATAATCGCTGAGGTCTAGAACCAGCAGATGGCGCAGTGGATACGTCGCTGGATTTTCATGTAGTCTACAGGAGTTTTGAGTCCTGAACCCAGTGGCTTAAAACTCACACCAGGTGTGTGTCCGTGCATGCCCAAAACTCCAAGAGGAGACTGGAGAAGGGATTGCAGCATGGCAATGGGGGTGTGATTTCTTGCTTTCTATCTTTGTCTCTCCATCTTCCCAGCGAGTGCACACAGAAGTCTCTCTAAAAAAATCACTGAGGTCTAACAAAAAAGATTAGCTTTTCTTGTCCTTGGACAGGCAAACTAAAGGGAATCATGTGGTACGTACTCTTTGTGACTGCCTTCCTTAGCACAATATAGTAGTCTATATGATGTTTAAGAGATTCATCCTTATTGTTGTGTGTAGTTGAAACTGTCCATACTAATTTTGTGAGGTTTGTTGTACGAATAGACCAAAATTCATAGCCAAATAGAATATTTAGTATTTTACTATTAATGGGCATTTGGGTAGTCTTCACATGTTTTCTGATGATAAATTTTAGTAAGGAGCAAACACAGCTATTTTCCAAGTCATTGTTGTTCTTTTTCTTCCTTTAACTCCCAATATATTAGCCATTATTGATGCTTGAATGTATAGTTGGCCCTCCATATTCATAGGTTCCATATTCTTGGATTCAATCCAAATATTTTTAAAAAGCTTTATTGTGTTTCTACTGAACATGTATAGTTATTTTTTCGTGTCATTATTCCCTAAGCAATATAGTATAACAACTATTTATTATATTAGGGATTATAAATAGGCTGGAGATAATGTAAAGCATGTGGAAAGATGTGCACAGGCTACATATAAATACTATACCATCTTATATAAGGAACTTGAGTATCCATGGGTTTTGGTATCCACAGGGTTTCCTAAACTCAATCCTCCAAGCATACCAAGGGATGACTGTAGTCTTTTCTGTATCTGTTATTAAATTATTACTTTAAAATAATTATTCATTTAATTTTATTTATTTATTACTATTATTCTATTTAAACAGAGAGAAAGAGAGGGAGAGTAAGAAAGCAAGCCGCCAACCACAGTCAGCCATGTGCCTTAACCTGTGCCTTAACCACCCTGCCACCTGCCAGGCCCCGTTATCAAATGATTATAAGCACACATAGGATACTGACATTTGCAAAGCGCTTGAGGTATCTGCCATACCCAGCATCCTCCTTTACCCCTGCTTTTGCTCTGTAGGACTCATGCATCTTATATCAGATGCAATCTCTAGGACCTCAGTCAAGGTGCCCACCACCCCTACTGAAGGCTTGAGCATGGGATGTAGGCCAGGCCAAGTAGGCCCTCTCTCTAGAAGCTAAATATTGAATAGTGACTTAATGACTGATTCAACATCAACTCCCTGGGACTGTCTTGCTCTTAGAACCTCAGATTTGTCTAGGTTCCTTCCCTTTTCCTTCCATATTTTATATATATATATATATAGTGCATGCATTCACTGGAGAAACAGAGAGAGAGATGGAGAGACAGAAAGCAAGAAACCACCTCCCAGGGGGAATGGTCGTGCTCCAATCTCTTCTCCTCTAGCCTCCTCTTGGGATTTTGGGAATGCACACACACACACACACACACACACACACACACACAAACACACACACACACACATGCACCTGGTGTGAGTTTCTTTCTTTTTTTTTTTTTTAAAGAATTATTTTATTGAACTTTATTTATTTTATTTACGGATTTTAATTTGACTAGAGAGGAACAGAGAGAGAGAGAGAAAATGAGAAAGCAAGTCACCAGGTCCAGAACTTGAACTGTGGTCGACCATATGGGAGTCTAGCGCTCTTAACCACCACACCACCTGCGGGCCCCAGTGAGTTTCTAGCCTCTAGGTCCAGGACTTGAACCATGGTCAGCCATGTGGGAGTCCAGCAACATAACCATTAATGCCATTTGCTGGTCCCCATTTTTGTTATTTTTTTGTAACTTTTATTTTTATATCATTTCCAACTTCATGCACTGGTTCTTTACAAATATTTTTAACCATTCCACAGACCTTAATTTATTTAATCTTTGCAAGACTAAACGAGATCACCATTTTCATGTATAGATAAGGAAACAGGTACACACAGGGTAAATTATTTCTACAAATGCACGTAATAGAAATTGTCTGAATTTGGTTGGTCCTAAACAGGGGTTATTTGACCCACAGTTTAGTAACCTTTCATTCCACCACCGTAGCTACTTCAGTTTGAAGGGCAATACTGTACTCCACCATTTTCTATGAAGGATCTGAGCATCTATGCATTCTGCCATCTGCAGAGGGTCCTGGAGCCAATCACCTGAGGATACCGAGAGACAACTATACTTTAGGAATCAAGAGGCCTGTGTTCTCTGATACATTGTACTTCTCTCTAGCTCAGCTGATTTTTAAGTCCTAAGGAAAAAAAATCTCCCCTTGTGTGTCTCTGAGTCTCTACAAATTTAATACAAAAATACAGTCTTAAAGAGAATTTATTACAAGTGGTTCAAATGCTCAAGTTATAATTAACATTCCCTATACAACGTATGGTTAGGACATGAATTATTTGCTTGTACTACTTAGAAGCAAGCAGTTAGCATTGTTTTTTGGCCAACTAAAACGTTTTCCCCCTTTTTTCACAATTTATTTGATTTTTTTTAAAAATTTTTTCAAAGGGTATATGCACTCACCACAGAGAGACAGAGAGGTAGAAAGAGAAGGAGAGGGAGAAAATAGCCCCTCAATGGAATGTGGTCATGCTGCAATCTCTTTTCCTCCATTTCCCCACCTTGTCAAGAATTTGGGCATACAGGCGCCCAGTGTGTTTTTTAAGCTGCCAGGTCTGAGACTTGAATCACACTGTTGGCCATGTGGGATCTGCCTCCCTTAAGCATCAGGCCATGGGCCAGTTCTATTTGAAGTTTTTTAAAAAGTTTATTTTGGCCAGCTGGTAGAGTGGTGGAATCTACATGACTGACCACGCAATTCCAATCTCAGATCTAGCGGCTTGAAAAACATGTCAGGCCCATGTGCTTGCATGTCCAAAAT